TTTACTTGGTGAGATTGGCGAGCTTACTCAGATTATGTATTCTTGGCATAACATTTTTCTGAGCTTCAGTTCTGTTCCCACGGAGTGGGTGACGAAAGTACGTCAACGCGCTTTCTTGGAAGGCTAGTGTTGAGCACAGCCATCTTTCCGTCCTAAACCTAATCAGTACGGATGCAAAAAAAAAAACCTATCCCGGCCATGAATGCCTGAATCATGAATGCATGAATAAACCCTACTGCATGCCCGACTAGAGAGCACAACGTGCCATGTACCCATAAACCCTTGCTCCCCTTCATCTTGCGTTGTTTCCGAATACTTGCACAATTCCAGACCATTGAAATTTTTCAAGCGCCCGAATCTCTTACGCACACCAATTCTGACAAGGTAGGCCAGCAAACAAAGAGTGCGCTGTCTAGCCTGACTGTTTTCATGACTTTAGCAGTTTGAACTGTGTAGGCACCAGCATAGTCCCTGTAGTCCTTAATTGCTGCAACCTATACGATAATGCCTGGTTTCTATGGGCCTACTAGACATAAATGCGCGAGGGCTACTCAACCGTATAATCCTGTCGTCTCCGAAATCTGATCTACGTACAGTAGGCGGCCCGCACACGGTTTTGACAGTCCATGTATTATGCGTGCATCTGGCAGGTTCAGCCCCCCAGTTTCCTGCAACCCTCAATGGAACCTTAATTACAAATCTGCTGTTCCAGGTTGAAGCCCTTCCAGAGCTACACTCTGGCCTCATTTTCATGTTCAAGAAAACTATAATAGCTTTGTACAGCTCTGAATTCCCGAATTCACGTGGAATCGAAAGCTTGCATCACAAAGAGGGTTGATTTGCATTAGCCCGACTTCCAAAGAACCGATTCAGCTCAACTTACATCGTGCTTCATTTCTGTAGTTTATTAGTGCTCGTTGCCAAGGTTCTTGTTTTGAAAAACAGAATCACTGGTTGCAGCAGTCTCTTTAGGTAGTAGTTGAAGATGCATATTATACTGCGGAACATATTCCAATCACCCATAGAGGTCCTGTAAAGTCCCACCAGGTACCAACACACTACATGGTCAAACAGCATCACTTTTCAGAGCATAGACCCGAAGGGACTGTCATTTGTATTCATTTGTCGAACAGTGCAACAGGTGCTGTCGGTGTGAACAATGCAGGCTTGTAAAGATCATAGAGGACATACATAACACGTGTACTCGGATTGATGCACTTGCAAGACTTGCAGGTGCTTAAGCGGATGGAAATTTCCTTTTTGCTTGCAAAGTTTCAGCCTATTGCGAAGTGTTCGGAAGTCAATGCTCCAGTATGAGTAGCTTACAGCCTCAGGGAGACACTCTGCTTCAGGGTCGCGAGGAGACGGTCCCACATTGAAACATATTGAGCCACATTGAACATTCAATGTGGTCGATCCACGATCCAAGATTGGTCGAAGGCCCTTGGGGAGAATTCCGCCGCAATGCGCCGCAATAAAACCATCTTCAACCTGACGCACCCGGAATTTTATCTGGGATCCAATTGTATCTGTAACGTGGCCAAAGGCCAAAGGCGGTTCAACGTCCCTGGGCCACGTTGAAGCGCCATCGCCCGCCCTGTATTGCAGTCGTTGCCGCCTCCATGTTTGGTGTAGAAACGAACAAATGCCATTTGAGGCTCCAATTCCTGCAGCCACTACCCCCCGGCTCGTCCCATATGTGCCGATTTTATTGTCCGGCCATCTGAAAGTCCTGCAAACAGAACGAGGTCCGGGGCATCACGAAGCACCAGCTTCCGCACCGAGCCTGGATGTTTTGGCAGAGGCCGGTGTCCTCGTGCCAGTTTGAGCGACGCGCTGCGATTGCAATGGCCATGAGGCACTTCAGGTAGCCAGTGGCCTATTGGGTCGTGCAACCCAGCGTTCTCCCCCACCCGAAGTCGTCGAGGTGCAGAACGTGCATGCCCCAGACAGATTCGCAGATGGTGCGACAAAACAAAGCTCGCGCATGCTCACGCATTGCAGAGGTTTTGAAGCGATGTTTGGATCTGACGAAGGCATTTGCTGTTGTTTCATGTTCACATTGTCATACATTTTCTTCATGTTGTCGCTACCCAATGAGAGGACATGCCGCGACCTTTGCTCCGAGAGGCAGCGGTGGCCATATCGTGTTTTCATATGCCAATCGGGCGTTGTCGGTCTTGGGAGGAAGCTCTGGCGGCCGAGCATGACAAGGTCGGTGTGATAGCAAGTTCTGCTGTTGCGGGAACACATCCCCTGGAGCTGATTGGCTCGTAAGGTCACTGCCTTTGAAGCCAGATTCCACGCTTTCATTGTGGAGGTGGTCCAGTGGGTCAAGCAGGCAGGGCATTGAACCAAGGTTTTGGAAACAGCGTTTTGCTTTGCTCGGGCGATTCGCAATTTAACCGCTATGCAAACCCGCCTCGGCCCACAGCATAGGCCTGCACTCGACAACGACCACCCGATGACGACAACAACTAACCAAAGCAAGCACCGCTCCCCGTGCCCTACCCCTACCCTTGCACCTGCCAAACTGGCAACAGTGGCAGCATTGGAAGCAACAACCGACGACAACAACAACTGCCAAAGCAATGCCTCTGAGCATGCGTCCCTGCATCTGCTATGCGCTACTCATTTCGTCTGCCATCCGTTGGCAGCTGTATTAGGGTGCAACTCTCTTTAAAATCCGAGGCTCGAAGCATCTTCCGAGAAGCCGTGGAAGCTGTTTGTTGTGTTTGCACTTCTTTCCACCACTCGATGTCAGGGAAGGAGAGGCGAGAGGTAGGGCAGACACTGAACCTTATCACCGAAGCCTCGGTGGATTTGTACATGTGAGAGGTTCCAGAAGGAGGCATGGCACTGCTTCCCGCCGGTCGCCCTCTCAGAGTCAAGGGATCAAGCAAGCTTCTAGAAATCGACCTCGCACAATGCTCTTTGATGTTATAGATGGTCGGAAGCCTGTTGTGGGCCCCCAAGCTGATCTACAGACCAACTGCACATGGGCTGGAACGATGCAATCCTCCAGGTTCGGTTCGATGAGTAAGTATATGATGTCCTGGCATAGGCATAGATTCGAGAACCGAAGTCGGTCGTCGCAGAGGTTGGCTGCGCAACAGCGTTTCCAAAGAAGAGGCAGGCAGAAGCAAGTTATGACTGTTCGACCGTCGTTTGCAGCCTGTGGCCGCTTGGTTCGCACTAGCTATTTCGAACAATTGGAAGATATTTCGTGTGGCAGAGTCCGCCCGCAAAAAAAGACAGTGCGACTCGCGGTTTTCACCAGCCAACCCATTGCCCAAGAAGACTTCCAGTCTCAGCAGCATAACAAAGATGTCACCGGCAGGAAGATGCAGACGATTCTGGGCACTGCGTGCCGGTGCCTGTGACTTTGTGCATGGGTGCAGCAGGGTCGGGGACCGGGGATTGATGAGTTACGCGTTGTGATTCCTACAAATCCAACTCCAACAATGATAGTGAGTTCTTTGTGCCTTGCTGTCTGCTGCATTGGTGTCCTGCCGTCGGGTGAAGCGTCACCTGTTCCCTCTCTCAGCCTGCAATCGCTGGCTTGCTGCGCAGGTGTGCTGCGACGGCTGCCAAGATACCGCTAGAAGATTAGCTTAGCTTCAACACGTGCAAAGAGACTGCGAGGAGATCTCGTGGATTCGTGTGTTTACATACGGGGGCCACCTGCTCAAATCGGTACCCGTGAAAGGGCGCGCAACGACCTTTAATACAGTCGAGCCCGTCCCTCAAACTGGTGGACGGGGTTGCGCTGACGCGCGGGCCAGGGGGCCTGCACCGAACCCCAAGCAAAGCAAAGCAACGAGGCAAAGAGAGAGAAAGAGAGAGAGGGAGACTTGGTCCTTTTGCGCCCCAAGCGTGGTGCAGAGAAAACGGCGAGAGACTTGGTCCCCCTGCAAGCAGTTCCGCGAGAGAGACTTGGTTTGCGATCCTTGCTCAAGTAGAGCTGTTGAAATGACGACGCCAAGCCATCATGCAGTCAATTCAGAAGCGGCGTCAGGGGGCCGAGCACGGGATGTGTTCAGCGATGAAATCCTCGTCTAGAACGCGACATGCAGTGGCCGGCAATTAATCCCTCGCTGTTGTCAAGCTCCGCGCCCTCGACTCTGATTTCCCTCAAGTCGCCAACTCGGTTGCTGTCAGAGGGGGGAGGCGAGGCGGTACAAAATGGGGTTCGATGCGACTGACAGTGCAAAGATTGTCAGTCGTTTGGAGATAGAACGTTGCTAAATCTAGGGATTAATGGCAAGAGTAAGCACAACTGGAGCGAGGATTCCTGTACGCGGGTGTAGGAGAAGTGCATTATTCCAGCTGCAGCAACAGCGGCTGTCGTAGTATTGACAAGGATTTGATGCAAATCTGAGAATTCGCTCCTACTGTATGGATATTCTGGTGGTTTGATCTTGTGCCTGGCGGGTATACTTCGAACTCACTAAGCCCTTCCAAAGGTTTTCTGTGCATTGGGCTGGGGCTGCCGTTGAGTTACTTCGAGTGCACTGGATGGCTGGCTGCATGGTATTCGTAATATGTAATCCCAGTCCTTTGACACAACGGATCAGGTTAGCTTCGGGCCACTGCAGGACATTACAGTCACAGGTGCCGGTTTGTTTATCGCAGTCGCTCACGCACCAGTTGCACTGTCCTGTGCTTGCTCGGCGCATCGGCGTGGCTCTGGCAATGGCTCAATGTTGAGCCACTAATTCGCTGCCCCGAGAGAATTGAGGGGCTCGGTTGAAGTGAGACTCGAAAGCAGGAAGGAGGGAGAGCGGTCCTAGGAGGACATAGAGGCGGACTCAGCGCCGCTGCTTAGGTTGCTGGTTCTCGTTCGCGGCAGAGAAGAGAGCAGCGAGACTTGTGATTTGGCTGCGGGAGGCTTACGCAGATCTTATCGGGGCTTCGAACGGGATGCTGCGCTTCAAGCTTAGGTCGTGAACACTGGAGACGGCTTGCAGCCAGCGCCTGAGTTCAGCGCAGGTCTCGCAGAGCGCTCATGATGTGTGACAGGTATCACCCAGCGGTAGCTAGCGGGCAAGCTCCACATCCCAGCATGCCATTGAGGGATGCTTTGGCTCGGGCCTCGGCAACGCCCATGAATGTCATCTCGGGTCACCGTGGCCTTGCTACCACAGGTGCTTTCGGGCTGCAGTCGTGCAGGTTTGTGTTCCAGTGCATTTTGGTCCGCCCCTCATGCAGTGGATACGAGCTCTAGACACTAGCGTCGCCTCATGTTGGGCAACGGCAGGTACCTCATCTACCGCCAGCTGCTCTTCCCCTGCGACTCCAACGGGCGCCGCCCCAACAAATAGATGCAAACAGGCAACATCTGCATTGCGACAAGTCATCCACTTAGTCCCAGGCCGCGATTCCTGTATGGAGTTGTTCTTCCATTCGCAAACAAAAAGCCCTTGAGACTCAACAACGGCTCCAAGCTGCATTCTCAGAGCCTCAGAAGTCTGACAGGTTTCGAACTGTCGAAAGCTGAGCCCGCTGCAAGGTCTGAAAAATGGACAAGGCAAGGCTTCGATTCAGTAGGTTCGTCCTAGCCAGGCGGGAGGCAAAAAGAGGTCTCTCGCAGAATCCTTCTGGCAGTGCTCACAGGCCGTTGCCGATTCCAGCAGGAGGTGCTCGGGCCTCAAGAGAGAGCTCACGCGGTTGGTGTATGGATGTGGCGAAATGTCCGTGAGGATAAGTCATTCGCGCTTTGCGTCGAGCGGGCTCTGCTACTTTGTTTTGCCGCCGCCGGCCTCTCGAAGGACGAGGCACTGCTGCAGCACGAGACGCTACGCAACAAATGTCGTCACTTAGTGGGATAATTCAGAGGCGTCATGGTGGGCCATGGTGAGATCGCGTGTCGGTCTGCTGGAGTTGGGAACTTATTGGATGTGTTGTCTCACTCCCCTCGAGAAAATTGCTTCTGGCTTTGTTTTACCTAGGACTATCGAAGAGGCCTTGCCAACTGCCAGGCGCTCAGCTGGGCAGAAGCGGAATGCTTGCACCGACTCGAATTCCAGCTCGCTCAGGAAGCCTCCAGCACCACACCTGGAGAACTAGCTCTCGTCCATGTGGCTGCGTCGGTGCGGATGCCTTGACATTGAATGCATGTGTTGCCACTTGAGATGCATGTCTCAGAACTCAGAACAGCACGGGGAATGATGTTAAGACGAAGACAACCTCTAGGTCGCAAGCTTGGAGTGTGACCAGCTCCGATGCCTTGGATCGGGCTTGACATGCCAAACGCACACGAACTCACAACCGCGCGTGCGCCGTGGCCTTCATGCAATGAGCCAACTGAGCACCATATCAGCAAGTCCATGGAACATGCATGTATCGGGCAAGCGGGCCAAGCAGTAACCGACAATTTCGGAAAGCTTGCAAGCCGCACACAGGGGTTTCTTGAAACCTCGGCGGCGTCAACGGAAGACGCTTCTGAGGATCAGTGTCCCGAGAGCCTTCTGACACACGGAGAAGCACGTTGCGAGGACTGTAGCAGGCTTTTGCCTGAAGGCTATTGAAGACACGAAAAGTCACAATGGCTCAACTAATGCACTCAGCGGCCAGATGTGTCGTGAAGAAGTCATTGCTCCCCCAAGCCCTCGGAATGCTTTCAAGGCTGCAGTCTTCGGCTTCAATGTGCATAGACACATAGATGGAGCCAAGTGTGCAAATTCCTCAGGGCTAACCTCGGGCAACATGAAGATGCTCAACTAGTAGCTGCTCTCGGGAGGCATCCCCCGCAATTTATTCAAGCATTTGAGCGAGCAGCGGGTCACCCGTGAGAGATGGAAGCAATGCCGGACTTCGTACTTGGCACAACTTAGCACTAGCACGCACTAGCCGGCTAGCAACTGGGCACAGGTGCCTGTTTAGAATCGCGATACATAGCCACATAGCATCTGGTTGTCAGCATCTGGGGCTCGGGGCGGGGCCCTGGGGTTGCGCCAGAGGCTCTCTGCCGCGCTGCAGCCGAGCATGCTCAACACTTCAAAGGCAGCAGGTGCGAGCGCCATGTGAGATGCACGAGATTTGGACTCCCGGAGCGTGGGTGGCAGGTATCCGGAGCCTGGTGCATACGAGGAGGAGCCCTTTTGTGATACGCATTTTTGATGGATCCTTGCTCTCATGCCTTCAAGCTCTCCCCACCAACTGGCACATGCTAACCTTTGCAAGTGGAGTTTCGGCAGCTGCCGCCAAGTGCCGTCGCAGTCAGCCTGAAGCCTTGCGGCGCTGCGGTAGCATTAGGTCACCAGCTGTTCGACACACAAATGCAGGTGCGGAGGCTTGCTGACAGGCCACATGTGCTCTGAAATGCTGCACAAGCGTGAGTTGCAATGGGTAGGACTACCGTCGAACCCTAGACTCTAGACATCCTGGCATCCAGGGTTTTGCAGAAAGTCGCCCTTCTGGAAGAATCTGGGGGAGAGCTGCAGTCTGTCTTGAGCTTGGCATCCCGCACGTATGATTTCTCACCGCAACAACTGGAACAAAATTTCCATCTATGTCCAGGCACAACCACCCCCCGCAGCCTTGCCAAATCTACAAAAATCAGCCACTCGTTTCTGCCTTAGAATACCATGTCCCTGCATAGACTTGGACATGAAGTTGAAAGCGGGTCGAGGCTTTGAGCACTTTGAGCGGCTGGTGAAGGAGGATGTAGAGAAGCTGAAAGGGGAAGTGGATCCTCCTCGGATTCTTATCCCGGCAGCGATCTGAGTTTGCTGAAGGGTTCCGTGAGCTCTGCATCCACACCTTCGATCTTGAGGTGCTGACATCTCGCTTGCAAGAGGCTCAGACCATCCTAGACTTCTAAGAAGAGGTGTAAGCGACCGAAGCATCAGCCGATATCAGGAAATCATTGAGGCTCTTGTGTTCCTTCAGGCCGGTTTCGATCCGAACGCCGCTGGAAGCGGCATCATGCTGCCGCTTGACAGTCTTGGCCTCAAGGTGGCCACGACCTGGCTGAAGCCTAGCGGCCTAACATCTGAAACTCATGCGCAATCGGAAACGTTCAGGCTCAGTTGCTCACTTTGCTCATCAACCAGCAGGCCACCTTTGCTGATGGGAGGACAGTAGCAGTCACTAACATTTCTGCGAAAAGGACCAGATAGCCCATGCTCCTGCGTCCTGCTTCGCGGTCGTGGCCCACCTGCTGACGTTCGCCTCTGAATCAACCACTTGTTGTTGCGGGAGTCAAGCGTGTAGTGGTAGTTGTCGCTGCTGCTTTGTGGCAGCACACGTGTGAGGCGACTTCTTCCAATGCCATTGCCTATAGATCACCCTCGCAAGGACATCATGATATCATGTGCCACAAAGGGATTGGCAGGTGAAGTTGCAAACAAACACTGCCAGGCCGAACTCTGTTTCTGGAGCCAAGATATGGTCTATGAGACCAAGGTCCCTGCCTCAACAAGACTGCGACCTGGTGCGGTGCGGCGAAATGTTCAAAGTTGCGATTAAGTTGAGTTTCGTAGTCTTTAGCACGGCGTTGGCTGACCACAGCGAGGAAGTTCGGCTTCGTGCTTCAGATGCTCTAAGCTGAAAACTGCTTGCAGATATTTCCGTGCTGTGCCGAGCCAGTCTTCCATGTTCGAGCCAAGCCGCCCGTATTTAAGTCAACTTTGTATCATGCCTCGGGGTGGGGAGGGGGGTTGGGGTGAGGTTAGGGACGAAATCATGGAATAGCATGGGAGGTTTAGCCCACTCCTAAACTTCAGGCAATGTGTGCAGAACTGCTTCTGGCAACTGCCTGACAAGTCGTAGAGCTACACTTGTGGCTGTGTGGTTGCATGTGTAATACATCGCAGCAGCTGGATAAGCAAGGTCGCTTCCAAGCATAGGCCCCTTTGATTTCGAGGCGTGCCTCTAAGTTTCACTTTTCCAGGCACCCCAAAATGAGCATCCTTCCTGTCCTGTTGATTTCTTAACCGGGTGCTCCAGCCTGTGGAAGGCTGAGTCTTCGGCCAAAAGTGTTCGCCAGTGGGCCACCGCCAACAGGTGTAGGGTAACTGAAGCTAGTCAATCACCCCAAGATTTTTCTGCGACTAATTATTAGACTGCAAGGCTTTGCCTTATCTATGCGCATGAGAACTCACCGAACGCGACATGTAGCTCCCTACTACGTGTTTATTCCGTGTGGTTCTCGTGGCCGGGAAACTTTTCAAGATCGGGAGCGTAGTCCCGCACGTTTTCTGAGTGTACAGGTTCGAGACAGAGCCCGTACCTTACCTTTTAAAGGCTTGGACATGCTTTCGCCCAGCCATCCGAATAAGAGACTACCCCAAGAATGTTGAGTGTGAGCGTCGAAATAGTGAGCTTTGCTATCTTAGCTAGAAAGATCTAGAAGGCATATTGCGTTGTTGACGATTCTTGAAGAATACAGCTGTATCAGCGGTTTTTACTTGGTGACTTGTCATGTTCGGGAACCATCACTGAAAGGGTCCGGCAAAAAGCGTTCGAAGGCAGACTTGATGCGGCACTTGTACCTCATTGCCCAGCGCTCAGCGAGGATTGACAGCTTGAGCTGCACTCAACAAGCTCCATTTGTTCCTCGACCGCAGCGCACTCAAACCTCGTAGTCGAGAAGCTTGATGCTTTGCTGTTGATGGATCCATCAAAATGGCAACTTCAAGCGAGAGGACCTCGTTTGCACAGCAGTCTTGCTGTTACTCAGTCTAGTAGAGAACACCTGTCCCGTGCGACTGCCACCTCCCTTCAGCCTCAGTCTTCTTCTGCGGTGCGAGTTGGGCAAGCTGAACGTTTTGCTGCCGGAAATGCTGACACTAGGGGACACGATGTGATCGAATTTACTTGAGAGGATCAACAGCATGTTCGCCAACTCAACGACTTGGCGAAACAAAGAAGAGGAGCAGAAGGGCCGTGCAGCTATCCATGCAAGCCAAGTGAATCGCGCCTTGGCGAGTCAAGAAGTCGGCGTGCCACAAGCACCAGAGGACATACTAGTAGTTTCACTTCGTTGTAGGTGTTACAGCCTGTGAGATGATGTGTGTAGCTCGAGAGAACGAGCGAGCAAAGGGACAGAGGGAAGGAAGGGCGGGGTTGGCTCAAGTCTGCGGGTTTCCCGGGTGTTGCTGGAGTCACTTCAGCCGCCATCTGAGGCAGTGGTCCCACTGCAAGTAAATTACCGGGTGGGCATGCCTGGAGCAGCTGAAAGACTGTCACGTACTGCGAGCTTTACGCTCTGTCTACGCTGCCGGAGAGAGACACGTCAGTGATTGTCGGAGTGACATGACGAGTCGAATGAGAGGACATGCTATGGGTGGGGCGCACAGGTCAAGAAGAGCGAGAACGAGCGTGTGTGACAAACCTGCATTTGGGGAATAAGCTCCACCAGAAAGGAAATGTCCATTACGACACATGGCGCAAGACCACCAAACAGCAATACAATCCAACATATTATCCTCGACTAAGGCAGCTAGACTTAGAAGTTCAGTAGAATAGGACAAACAGGTTCTATGTCCAATTCGCCGTTTGGGAAGGCTCAGTGTAAAGCCTGAGCTCTCAACCCAACCTCGTCGACGCGAGAGAGTGAGAGAGAGCTCACACCCAGCAACCAGTGCTCGCCCGCGCGCGGAGGGGTTTGCGCCCTCCTTGTTTCTGTGGAAGAAGAGGTGGGAGCCCCATGCAGCCGAAATGGCGGGTGCGCACCACACAAGTACATTCCCAAACCGTTACCGAAATCTACAATACAACGAACATTTGCACATTGCCTATCATTACCCCGGGCAAGGAGCGATCGTCAAATGCCCATCGGAAGTTGGACGGTTATCTGTACTAGAGAGATCGCCCTACGTGAAGACAGCTAGGCGTGCTAGGAGGGTGGCAAAAAAAGCAACTACTGCTGCGGCTGATTGCGGCTGCTGCTACTACTACTACTACGACGACGACGACTACTGCGACGACTACGACTATTACTACTAACTACTACTACTACTACTACTACTACTACTACTACTACTGCTGCTACTCCCCCTACTACCACTTGTATCCCAATGCCTAACGCACACACACAGAGGTCGAAAGGGTTTAGGATTTGAGGTGGGTAGATTTTACAAATGCGCCATGGCCAGCCATTTGCGCAGCCACACAGTCATGGCAAGTGTTGCTACTGCCAGCTTCGTCCCTGAAACCGAAGCTGTAGCATGTTGATCAGCCGTCACACCGTCTTAATCGGAAATCGACCCACCCTCGCCCCCTGCCACCCCCCAACCTCAACCCCCCGCCACAGCCGAAAAAGCTCTGTAATCGGCCAAAGGCCAAAGACCGTCGGCGTGTAGAGGCGCCGTCACTGTAAACATGAGCACCAGAACAGAAACCCTCTGTCACGCTGAAGCAAGTTCCGTGCAGCGTTCTGTGCTTCAGATGGTTGTTCTCAAAGTTCCTTGTTTTCGGAATCTGAGAGATTGAAACAAAGATATATGCGTTAAACCCATGAAGTCCTAGTTGTCAACAACAGCTTGGAGACGACTGCGATCTGAATTCTCCACCCCGAATCTCATCGCGTGGATCCAAAGTCGCATTAGCCCGGCACCGAGAGCAACCGTCCAGCACCTATGATTCAGTCTGTCCATCCCCCATTCATTCCGAAAAAAGCCAAACAACGACCCGTGACAATCGCTTAAGTTCCCTATTGCATCAGAGCTCATCAGAACTGAAAGCTTCACATCACGCCGAGGCGGATGTTCCCCCGGACGACGAGGTATCCTGATGATTCGGGGAAAATCCCGGGGTTGGCACAGAAAATGGGGGCTCTTGGCATAGGTCCGAGTCGTTACCGATATGATTCCTCGGGGCGCATAGTATCGATTCTTTCGGTTGTTGGACGTGCGGGAAGCTCCTTCTGACGCATACCCAAGTGCGAGGTTGTTTCTGATTTGTATTTGGCTAGTACGGCTTAGGTGCGGCTTGTCATCCAAAGGCAAGTGAGGTAGTCAAGAGAAAAAAGAGTAACAGCGAAGGGAACCATAGCAAGAATTACAATCTGTGTGCAGCCCGACAGCATCTGGTTTCCCGATTCCCCGGGCAAAGGTCGCAAAGCTTGAGCGTTGTAGGGTTTCGGGTTTGCAGCTTGGGGTGCAGGCACAGTTCGAAGTCGCAAATGTTATGTGAACAAACGGAAATGCCGGTGGTTGCGTCGAATTCCGCACACCGATGCCAGAAAGCTTTCGCTTCAATCCAGAATTCCCAAACCCATATGTCGGCATCTAGAAGATTCGGTGTCATTGCGCTCAATATCGGTGCAGAGTTTCTTAGTTCTTAAGCTTTCGGGTGACATGGATAAAAACAGAGCTCGACAAGAATGGAGGTGCCCTTCGGCCACATGCTCAGCATCAGCACTATGGCGACCATGGTTCAAGGCCCTTGAACTAACGCTTGAGGGTTGAAACGGCTTAGGGTTTTAACCCCAAAGGTTAGGTTTCCAGTTCACCCAGCGTATTCATGAGTTTCTGCGCGGGTTTGTTCAGTGTTCTATCAGGGTTCAGTAAGGTTAGAGGCCCTTTTCGGGATTCCTGGTATGCAGCATGCCACTTTTCCGGGTATATCATGGGGCCCCAGCATGTTTTAGAAGGGCCTTTAGGGGTCTTGGGCTTTCGGATTCGACTCTTTGTGTTGAGGCTTCTTTGGGTGTCGGATGTCTTCACTTTAGGAACTGCAGGGCTCAAGCTTTAATGGAGCTGCAGCGTATCTGCGCATCATCACCATCAGCATCATCGCCAGCCGCAGCGGTATCACCACCATCCGCGACATCGCCGATCGCACCTTTTTTCATCCGACAACAGTGGTCGTGGCAAGAGCAACCGCAACAGCTACATGAGCCCCGAAATTACTTGAGGCTGGAGACAGCTGATTCGGGAGACGACAGGGATCTGTCATGTTTTAGGAGTCAATCGTTAGCAGCCTCCAAGAGCTTTGGTTGGCTACTGCGACTTAGTGTGGGAGGTTCAGGCTTCTTCTGGGTGCTCTGGACTCTTTGGAAATCAGAATCGAGGTTCTGGGTGGTTCACGGTCGGTTCGCTGTGGTTGTTAGCCTTTTGCGGTTGTTAGCTTTTGGGAGCTGTTGGCTTTCCCCGAGCCTTTGAACTCATGCCTTCATCCAAAGCATGCGCTCGGACGGGTCGAATCCCCACCTGGGCATCCCGACCGTCATCAGACAAAAAGGGCATAACAGGAAAGGATCAACTCTAAATCCGACACCTTTAAAGGGGTCCTTAAACGGGTTCTGTCAGGGCTACTATAAGGGCTTAGGGTTTTATGGGGCCCGGTATTCAATCCCTGAAGCCCAATCCTCAGACTGGAAAATGTTTCAATGTTGAAACCTCAAGCGGTAGATGGTAGACCCTGAAACCCAAGCCTCGCACTCCAAGACTCTCAGCCTGAACACCCTTAACACCTAAACCCAATGCCCTAAACCCCGGCTGCCTCTTCAAACCTTGAAGTTT